AAAAACAAAACCCCTTGATCCACTGGTTATAACAAGCCCACGAAACTTTGTAGGTGACGGAAAAGGACGAGCTTGCCGTCAGTGGAAAGGACAAATTTTCCGCTTCCTCTTCACCACCGGTAAATATATAATTGATCACTTGCTAAATAAGTCAAAAAAAAATTTCTTGATTTTTGTTAATTTTGTTAATGCACATGGATTATTCACATGCATTACGTTAATAATAAGAGAACTCAGGTGGCGTCAACTTTTGTAATAATTTCACTTGTATATGATCTACTAAAAAAACTCCATTCCAAACTATTCTTCTACAAGAAAGCTTTTAAGATTCAAAGAGTGGCCATACCGCCATAGCATCATGAATAATGAAACACAAAGAAGTTATGATCGAATTAACGATCTAAAGACATTTGATGAACGAAAAACCGGGGTGAAAGGGGTGGTTGATGCAGGAATAGATAAGGTTCCTAACGTATTTGTTAGACCACTAGAGGATCGTTCTAAAGACTTGGAGACATGTCTTGAGAATATAAGTGTACCCGTCATAGATTTCGCTCGTGTTGGTGAAAGTGATGATCAAACTGATGAGATCGTAAAAGAAATAATTTCAGCATCACAAAAAATGGGGATTTTTTCAAGTCGTGAATCATGGGATTCCCTTGGAATTGTTGGAGAAGATGGTTAAAGATGCTCAAATGTTTCATGAACAAGATGCTGAGACTACGAAGCAACTATATTGTACAAGTGCTAGTCAAGATTATTTCTCAAAGAGGGTCACATTTCTTTCTAACCATGACTTGTATAAATCAAAAGTTGCTACTTGGAGAGATACATTGTATGTCAACACTCTGGTCGGTGAACTTAATCCTGAAGAGTTGCCGTCAATATGCAAGTAAGTTCTTTGTTTTAACCTTGTAATTTAATTTATTTGTTTGATCAAGCATGTTGTTTGTCTCATTTTCTTTGTTTTAAGTAAACGGTTTCATGAGTTCATAGATTTGCTTTATATATGCATCCATATATATCATATACTCCCTTTGTTTTTTAAAGTACAATATATGTATTTGGTGCAATATTCATTAAACGACATTGACTTGAATTTTAAAAATAATTTATAAATTATATGAAGTAAATATTATCATGTAATTTGTTGTTGAATTGGTTACAAATCTTAAAATGCTTATTTTCATAATATCAACATTTTGTAATTTATAACAATGAAAAACTGAAAATATTAATGGTCAGATTTACACATTGGCAAATAAACTTACAACTATATACCAATAAAGTGTTGGCTCACTTGGTAAGGTTCTTACCTTAGATCTTAGAGGTTTGGGTTTGAATTCTACCAAGTGAGGGTACTTGGGAGTAGGGATTCTCTTACCCTCCCCTCTACTACTAAGTTGTCTAGCTCGCAAATATTGGATCAAAAAAAATTGTTAGGATTGAGGTCTAGTCAGGGTCTCCTTACCATGTAAAAAAATAAACGTACAACTATATGTCGTATAACAATTTTTTTTTCAGGGATGTGATATTGGCATATGTGAGCCATATCCTAAAGCTTGGCAAACGCATACTTATGCTACTATCAATGGGTCTTGGACTCAAACCTGATTATCTTGAAGAATTATTGGAAATTAGTAAAGGTTGGTCTTATGGTTGCCACTACTACCCAGCATGTCCAGAGCCACAATTGACCTTAGGAGCCCCTGGACATTCTGATTTCTCCTTCTTCACAATACTTTTACAAGATCAAATTGGCGCCCTCCAAATTATGCATGAAAATCAATGGGTGAATGTTGAGCCTGTGTCTGGGGCCTTGGTTGTTAACAACGGAGATGTATTGCAGGTTCGATCTATTATCTCTTTTCCTTAACTTTTTGGCTCTCTATTGTTGTAATACACTATGTATGTCTAATATTTATCTTCTATCGATCATGCATACAGGTTTTATCAAATGACATATTGAAAAGTGTGTATCATAGAGTGATTACAAAAAGTGTTGGATCAAGAATTTCTACTACATTCTTTTTTCATGGTTCGCTCTTATCTAAGAAGATATATGGTCCTATAAAAGAGTTGATATCAAAAGAAAATCCACCTACAATTGAGGAGTTCCTTACATACTTTTTCTCCAAACCTCTTGATGATATTGGAATTGATTATTTCAAACTTAAAGATAGTAGATAAATTTACTCGTGGCAGCTTAGTGGGTGTTGTTAATTTGTTAAATTGCTTGAAATTTCTTGATATGTGAAGTTAATTGTTATATGGTGCACTGGGAGCTTAGCATGCATGGTGCGCATTGTACTCCACATTAATGTTCTTATCATTATTAGACTTGCTTGTTATTCTATTAACTTTTATTTTTGACTTGTATGTAGTACTTTTACTATGATCAAAGAATTGTACAAGTAAAATCTTATATGCTTAAATCTGAAATATGTTGTACTTTTACTTTTTTGGATCATAATAAAATACTTTATGGTAACAGTTAAGGCATAAATAAGTTGAATTGAAACTCCGTAATTCTGTATATTTTAATTATCACTAATAGTTTAATTGTCTTTTTTTTTTTTGGTAGAAATCGAGATAACAATCAATGATGTAAATGGAATTCGATTTAAAATTTTAAGTACTATACCTTCAAAACTTGAATCAATTAGTTAAGATACCAAAAATTTACTTATATGCGGATGATGTAGTGAAGTAATGGTCAGCACCCCCTACAAATTTATTAAAGCATGATATATATTACATTATTGATAGAAAGTTTTTTATCACAACATAATTTTGAAATATGTATGTAGTTCAGTGAAAAGCGGTTAATTCGGCTTAAAATACGTAAAGAACGAAGTAATACATGCATTGGTATCGCCCTCTCTTTCTCTTATCTCTTAAAAAAAAAAAAGAGAAATACATGCAAAAAGAATTTATTAGTGTTAATTCAAAAAATTTAGACAACAAACTCATTCAACACACCAAAATTGTATGGTGGTTTAGATCAAAGAAAGAGGAGTTAACTATTAATTACAATGAATGATCGTGTTGCGTATAAAATTTGAAAGCAGGTTTGGGACAATTAAGAAACAAATTGATGAGTTATTTTATATAAGTGCCTATATAGTCACTCGTTAATTAAAAAAAGTGTTTAAAAGACTTCACAATTATTACGTAAAAATAAATAAATTTAGCTGAATCGACAAATGATCGATCATATGGCAGAAGCAATACAGTAACATTCTTCAATTTGTATAAGGTTAAGATTTGTTTTGAAGTATAAATTTTCCAAATAACATTACATATAAGTGTCCTACATTAATCTCATATTGAGAATATAAGAGAGAGTTAAACACTTTATAATGTTAAGGGACTACTTTTTATATTGCTATATAGTTTTGAGATAGAACCTTCTTTAGTTTGTGAAGTGGACTCTCTCTGAGTGACGGATGCGACCCAAATCCGTATTTAATAAGATTCCTGATCCAACAAATACAAAATATGGACTAACTTACATTATTTGCCTTTAGTTTTCTAATTACAATTAAGGATAGATGCAACTAATCTTCTAGAAATAAACTTTTTGGGTTTTAGTGGAAGTAGAAAGGTATGGTAGCTTACCCAATAACAATAAAGGCATGCAGCACTTATGGTGCGCAACTTGCTAATTATTATTTGTATATGGACGAATTGATAAGCATAATCAATTTTTTAATCTTTATAACTAATGGGTGCTACAGGCAATGCACTAAGGTGTTTTTTTTTTTTTTTTTTGTCTAATATAAAACACATAATGTGTGTTAGTATATATTAGAATTACTCTTACAACTTTTTAAATATTAAAAATTTATATTAATATAATTTTTGCAATAAATAAAGGTATAATATTATTTGTCAAAACAATTTGTATTAAAATTAAGGCATCGGAGATATACAGGTCTAACACTTATACATTTGTAACTTGTAAGACTTTATTTTTTAGTATCTTAAAACATTAATGGTAATTAAATTTTTGTTTTTCATTTGAATGGTCACAAGTTCAATTCCTAGCAACAACTAGGGGTGAGCGAATCGGATATCTGGTCAAAATTTTAGTTATCGGATCCAAAAGTGGTTGGGACCAGTTCCTAAAATTCGGAATTGGAATTGGAATCACTTCAACCAGATCCTAAAACTTAGGAATTGAAATTAGAACCGCCGGATACCGATTCCGGTTCCGAGTACCCACTTTAATTTGTACATAAATGTTAAAATTTAATACAATTATTTAATTTGATCTGTTTTCATTTTTAGCATTTAAATTAATACTTATATTTATATATGCATGATGCTATTTTATTTATGTTAGGTATTAATAATACAATTTTTTATTTTACTAACTACATATATTCAACATATTTTTGTTTTTTTTTTAAATATATTTAGTTTAATATATATGCATGAAGCTATTTTATTTATGTTAGGTATTAATAATACAATTTTTTATTTTACTAACTACATATATTCAACATATTTTGTTTTTTTTTTAAAATATATTTAGTTTAATATATAATGGGTAACCGGATACTCAACCGATTTCCGGTCCAAAAAAATGAGAATTGGAATTGGAACTGGTTGCTATCGGTTCCTTAATTAATTACTCTGAATTGAAACCACCGGTTTCAATTCTGAGTACCCGAAATTTTTGCTCACCCATAGCAACAACCATGTTTACTTTTTATATTGAAGGGTTGACATGTGACATTTAATATAAAAACCTTTTTGTCTAGCTTAGAGTAGGCCAGGGTTTTATGCGGAACATAAACTCTCTTAGATATTAACGTCTTTTAGTATAGATAGCATTGAATGTTAATAACGTTAATGTATATTTGATTAGGCTAAGTCAATCGAGTCAATGCTTAGATTAATCTAAATTTTATTAAATGCACATGGATTTCTACTCTTCTACGTATGTGAGTGGAAAGCGAAATGAATAATTACACTTGACTATAAATTTGTTTTATTAGCTAATACATAACGCACTAACTCCTAATAAGTCCAAAAAACAATTTCCGATCCATTTCATACTGTAAAGCTTGAAAGATTCAATGAGCAACTACCCATTCATGAATGAAACACAAAGTAGTTATGATCGAATTAACAATCTCAAGGCATTTGATGAAGAAAAAACAGGGGTAAAGGGGTTGGTAGATGGAGGAGTTGAAAAAGTTCCTAGCATATTTGTTAGACCACTCGAGGATCGCTCTAAGGATTTGGGTACTAATGCTGAAAATATAGGTGTACCCGTCATAGATTTTGCTCATGTTGGTGAAAGTGATGGTCAAATTGATAAGGTCGTAAACGAAATCATTTCAGCATCTAAAAAATGGGGATTTTTTCAAGTGATAAATCATGAAATTCCCTTGGAATTGTTGGAAAAAATGATTGAAGGAGCTCGAATGTTTCATGAACAAGATGATGAGGCTAAGAAGCAAATTTATAGTCGTGATTTTTTCTCGAAAAAGGCCTCTTTTCTTTCCAACCATGACTTGTATAAATCAAAGGCTGCTAACTGGAGGGATACTTTCTATTTCAATGCTCTGACCGGTGAAGTTGATCCTCAAGAGTTACCTCCAATATGCAAGTGAGTTCCTTGTTATGTTGTAAATCAGATTATTTTTTAAGTATATATATGAATACATCGTATTTACATATTACCCTTACGCATCCTCTATTATTGCCTAAAAGGAACCCGCGCGATTACCCAAATCAACAACTTGCATAAAATTTCTGCTTTGACTATAACAAATTAAATCTATGTATCCCATGTATCTTTGTTGTGTCCCAATTTTTCAATTTTTGAATTCTTATTAAGTATGTAGGACTAGTTCATGTTACTATTTGTTATTTAAGTTTCACTCGATCAAATATATTAAATACAAATTATTTTCGCAGGGATGTGACACTAGAGTATGTCGACCATATGGTCAAATTTGTTAACAACATACTTCAGTTGTTATCAATGGGTCTTGGACTTAAACCAAAGCATCTTGAAGAACTCGATATCAGCAAAGGATGGTCCTTAGGTTGCCACTACTACCCGGCTTGTCCAGAGCCACAATTGACCTTGGGAACTAATGGACATGCTGATATCACATTCCTCACAGTACTTTTACAAGATCAAGTGGGGGGTCTCCAAGTTCTTCATGAAAACCAATGGGTTAATGTTGAACCTATTACTGGTGCCTTGATTGTTAACATTGGAGATGCACTTCAGGTATTGTTTCTGTTTTTATTTTTTTTTATTTTAATTATAGTTCTAAAGTTGAAATACATGCTGGGTGAATTATTTTTTAGTCTAAACTAGTGATCTAATACTTAATTACTTCAATTTGAACACAGATTGTATCTAATGGCCGATTAAAGAGTGTCTACCACAGATCAACTGTGAACAGCGTTGGACCAAGAATTTCTGTTCCATTTTTTGTCCAAGGCTTTTTCTCGTCTAAGAAAATATATGGTCCAATCAAGGAGCTAACATCAGAAGAAAACCCACCTATTTACCGTGAATTCTCAACTGAGGAGAACCTCACACACTTCTTCTCCAAATCCCTTGATGAGATCGGAATTGATCATTTCAAGCTACATTCATTGTCCTGAAGATGTAGGGTTAATTTGATCAGAGATGGTATTACAACCACAACTTACAACAATATTGTTATGAATACCATCATAATTTGTACTTGTTAAAGAGCTATATGTAGCAATCAAAATTCGCATTATAATCGTTATTTTAAGTTGTGATTTCTAAGGGCCAAATGTTTGGGAAGACATTTATATAGAAAATAAAGGCTCTTATGATAAACTATTAGCCATTATTTTACTTGGTGTGATGCTTTATCAATGTACTCCGTAATATTTTCTATTTGATGATTTCAGCTATACTTAATTAGTTGATTAAGGAAATTCAGCAATACATCAAAAACTAATACCGAACCATTTTATTAAACCTTTACATATTTATTATAGTCTCCTTAATTTTTCCTTTTACCTTAATAAAGATAAAGTCGTGAAACTCTTTTATAGACATTTAAAGTGGTCTACAAGTAGATTTACCACTAGATATGGGTGGAAGTAACATTAGTTCAATCAAAGAGTAAAAATACTTTAATTATTTTACATTTTTTTTTTTGTTTTTTTTTTTTTACACAATAGCAAATGGCAACACACAAAGAACTACACATAATTAGACATGGAAAAACGACATCTTCTTGCTATGTCGTTTGCCCTTTGTACTGCTCTCTTGGAACCTTTAAGATTGCACATCTTTGGAATTTGGCCCACACTTCCCTTATCTCCTTTAAGATCCAAGTTATCGTGATGTCCTTACCAAGGTTATCCTGTAAATTGTTGAGGAGGGAGATAGAGTGTGACAGGATCATGATCCCCTGTTTTCCTTTTGCTTGGGCCCATTTCATGACTTCAAGGCATGCCCAAGCTTCACATTGAATTACTGACGAGGCTGCTCCGTGTTTCCCACCCTCATCCATTGTGTTGCCTTGGTTATTTCCTGGGACTGCCCAACCAACCCCCGCTCGGTAGTATTCTTATCCCATGAACCATCCACTTCCACAATGAAGTTGTCATAACCCACCTTTTCTTTTCCTAGTTGCACATGGTTGAAGCTTGGTGGAATGATTGGGTCGTCCCTTATCACGACCATGTCGACATTGTGGTGGCTACTATGCTGGGTGAAAACCTCATGGTCATTCATTGCTAAGTTGGTGAATTCCGCAACTAAGCTAGCGGTTCCATTAGCACCATTGAAGCATCTTGCGTTCCTAGTCTTCCATAACCCCCATAAAGTTGCAATGAACAGAACACTACGGGTGTTGCCATGCTTACCATCCTCGCTATAAAAGAGCAAGATATAGCTCTGGATCCATTTCCTCAAAGAGTTGGACCTAGGAAAGTCAAGGCAAATTGTCAGGGAGCCATTCTCCCAGACTTCCTTTGCCAGAATACAGAATCGAAAGAGATGTTGGCTATCATTCCTTTCCATCCCACAAAAGTCATAAGTTTCATTGACTTGTATTCCTCTTCTAGCTAAGTTAACCTTAACTACAATACCGTCATGAAAAGTCTTCATAAGAAAAGCTTCCATTTTAGCTGAATATTCATTCTCCAAACAAGCTTCACAAAATTCTGATCCGTAGTGGAGACGGAGGATCTTTCAAGCCCAATTCCTCTGAAAGGTAGTAGTACCCCATCTTGACCGTGTATCTCACCGATGGGTGGTGTTTCCAATAAAGGAAATCATCCTCCCTTGAATATGGCAGCTCCATTGACAGAATTGATTTTGCACTGTTCCGGTCAAAACATTCCCTTACCTTTCCCGTGTTCCAAGAGATCATTTCTTCATTGATAAAATCCTTCACTTTCCAATTCAAGGAGAGCCCTAGCGTTTGATTTGAGTTAAGAAGTGGGACTTCCCCTTTCACCCAAGGCATACTGATTGCTTTAATATCCCTCCCATTACCGACTTTCTAAACGAAGCCTTCCTTGAAGGACTGAGTAACTTTTTGTGGGCTTGTCCCTCCCATTGAGGGGTTCCCTATTCTAACATAAGGTCTAGGCATATTGCAAATTCCACATGGTTGGAACCCTCTATGCACCCTTGAGAGCAGAAGCTGCGGATTGTGGTGCATCCTTGTTGATTGTTTGAAAAGGAGGGCATATCCCAAATTCCTAAACCTCCCATACTTTTAGGAATTTGAGTAATAGCCCTACTTACCCAGTGCATGCCTTTATTCCCGTTGTGGACCACCAAAATCGAGTAACGAGCGAACCAATCTTGTTGGTTATGGTTAGAGGAAGTTTAAGACACTTCATGACATGAGCCTAGATGCTTACTAAAACTGTGTTGATAAGGATTAGCTTTGTCGCTTGAGAGAGGAGCAACAATGCCCATGAAACAATTTTCTCCGATACTTTATCCACTAAGAATTGAAAAGCCAAGCTATTCTTCCCCTGTATATCTATCGGAGTCCTCAGATGAGTTCCCATATTGTCAGTTTCAGACATAGGAAGGATTTGTTTCATAGCTAACTGTAACACCCCCAAATCTCCCTCTACGAAAATACTATATTTATACGTATAAAATACCCTAGAGATAGACTTGGGCGTATTACCGCCACGTGAAAACGTAAGGCTTACTTAACTACTGAAGATGGCAGCGGAAAATAACTGACTTTTATTAATATTATAATAACCATAATATATAGTTCGAAAATACTCCAGATAAAAACATGTCTGACTCAGGAATAAGTAAATTCCTAGCTAGGTGATCCCAATCCCGACTCAAGTATGCGCACGATCAACTCCACACCTGAAATCAAAACTGCTTACCAATAATGGTAAATAAGGCGAACCAAAACAAAAAGGAAAACGTATTAGCAAAAACGCTAAGTACATATAAGTGTAAGGCATGTAAATGCTTTTATTAGACAAACATGATATGCTTTCGAAATAATTATTCCAATTCAAACTTGCCAAAGGTCACTTCCAAAATTAGACTTTCCATATTTAAACCTTCCAAAAGTAGTAACGTCCATTAATAGAAACTTTCCAAACCAATAGATTTCCAATTTTTAGACGAATTTCCAAAAATCAATTTTCCTCACCTAAGTGTGCACAACCCCCAAGCAAGTTAAACTATACTCGAGGAAAGACCAAATCATACAAAGCTCATGGTCTTACTTAACCAGTTCCGGGTAGAGGGACAATTAAAGTAATAAATACTCAGGCTCATAATGAGCTACAAGTTTAAATTAATGCTTTTAATTCAATAGCTTGAAATCCGGTGATCCATAAACAACTTTTATTAAGTCAAACTACACTTTTAAAGATCAAACCTTTAAATCGTAAAATTTATATTTTAACTCAAAATGAAAATCATTAACTTAAATCTTCCATACGCAACATTTATTCGAACAATCATTAAAATAAACCTTTACCAAAACATGCATTCAAACTTGTATCAAGGATCTAGCCACCTATACGTACCTTGAACAATTAAGGTACGATCACTAAACTTGACCACGATCGAGGGACTCCTCCTACACAATTAAAATAACCTTAATTAATATGAGGTTAACAAGATAAACACAAAACTATAAATAATACCCTATTGTGCATGAACTACCGAAACCTTTAACCTTATTAAATCAAAACTTTAATAATTTATAGTATTAAAAAATAGTGATATTAGCTAGTATCAAAATCATCACGTTAGTGTTGAAATAGTACTAGCATAATAAATTAATAAAATTAGCAATGATACTTAAAATGATAATAAGATAAAAGGAAGCAAGTATTTTTTTTTTTAGTTGCTTGGGGCAAAAGGAGGGTGAAAGAAACAAAGTGCTACTACACCTTAATGTAGTACGGCAATAAGTGTTAGGCGGCAGCAATAGTTGTGGTTGTTGTGTTGGTTTTAAGCATGAAAGAAAGAAACAGAGGGAGAAGGAGATGGCCGTGAGTTTGAGAAATAGAGAAGGAAGTTATCTAATTTTTGGTGTGAGGAATTTGTGAAGAATTAAGGGTCTATTTATAGTGTTTAGAGAGTAGAAAATAATTAATTATTCAAATGATTAAATACTTATATTTGGCGCCAAAATTTAAAATTCATTTTGGCTCCAAATTAAATAATTCAAGAAATTATTAAAATATTTTTCCAAAATTCGGGGTATTACACTAACCTTGTAATTAACATGACTAATTGAGAAGAATATCTACCAATTTATAAGGAATTCACAATTTCTCATACAAGTATTTCTTGATTAACATGACAGATTTATATGCGTAAAAAACTAAAAATGGCAAGGTGATCCACTAAGGCCTGAAGTTAGGAATAAGTGAATAACCCACAAATTTATGTTAGTATAAAAATGAGGCAACTCATATGGAATAAACAAATGCAATATATATAAGAAAGATGAAATAATAAGGCAAAAATTATTAAAATTACAATTGAGAAAAAAAATATATTATTTTGATTAGCTGTGTTGAAAATATTTAAAAATAGTATACATTATATTACATTTTTTATGCATGTTATTCCCAATAAAACTATACAATGTAGCTAGATGTTGTATGACTTTTTATTAATGAATTAATTTAGTTTTATATAAAAAAATAAAAGAAAAAATAAAAATAAAAACTGTACAACGTACTTCCAAAAAATAAGCTAAGTAGAATAATAATAAAAAAAAAATTTTAAAATCTTAAAACTGACATCATATATTTTATTGGTAGGAGATTTTTTAATGGTAGCTTGACATATGTCCAAAATGATCGATGTAAGTATGACGAGTTTTAGTAATAGTTAATAGAATTTTTTAAGGAACAAAAAAAGGTAAAAGTTAATAAAAATATTAGAGAAATATTTAACAGATTACTAACTCAATTCTTATTATTTCATAAGATTTCAAATCAACACCATGAATAAAAATGTTTTTTTTTTCCATTGAACCACAATATTGTATTTTTGGTCCCATTATTTTTTACACTCTCCACCATATTTCAACCTTCTAAATTATAGCTTACTCTCCCTTAATTAAAAGGTCTCAAAATCTTGTGTAATATTTTACTCCAAAATAAAAAAGAATAAAATTATTATAAAGATAATAATAATAATAATAATAATAATAATAATAATATATTATTATAGTTGTATTATACAAATATTTTTAAAATAAAAGATTTTTGCTAAAAAGGGGGTGGTTTGGAGGGAAAAAAACAGCACCAGGAAGTGACACGTGTCATTCCTGGTATCTGTTTTAGTATTATGTTATTGATTCAATAATTACGTGAATATTGCCAATAATTACATATTCACAATCTAATATCCGATCTAATATCATATCATAGAAATAATATATATATAAATATATATATATATATAT